AAATTTCTGCAAAATTGTAGATCCCAAATAATTTCTGGGAATTAGGTTTCCATGTAGGGGTGCACCGGATTCCAAATCCGGAATTCCGGCCAGATTTAACAAATTTTCTGGCATCCGGCCGGATTTGGAGAAAATCCGGCCGGATTTAAATTTCTGTTTTCGCCTTACCAATTCACCAAGAATGGGATAAACCATCAATTTGGCAGCTTTAAAAGTTTAAAAAACACTTATATTATTATAAAACATTAAGTTATGAACAAAAAAAATTAAAAAGGTTTAAACACAATTAAAAATCTAAACTGATATAAACTAAAAGTAGTAAAAAACATAAACCGCCAGCCATTTTGAATACTGATTTATCCCCAATTGTCCCCATTGCCGGTTTATCTCAAATCTGGCTGGAATTCCGGCCGGATTTGAAAATTCCAAATCCTGTGCACCCCTATTTCCAGGTTCCGATACTTTTCCACCTCTGGATAGCTGCCTTTTCGAAGAGCTCTGCCTCATACTTGGCATAGGAGTACGTCTTGACCTACAGTTATTGGTAAACATGCACACTATAACAAGAAGGGGCAGACCCTTACAACTTCAAAAGCCTTAACTGTAAGATAGTAACCACATACACTAAGCTTTAAATGTATGACATGCAGTGATGCCAAGTCTCCCGGTTTGGAACCTTACCTCCCGGTATTCATGTTGGACCGATCGTGCTCTCCGTCATAAATTCAGCGAATCCAAAAAACTAAAAAATATAAACAACTTGTTTGAAAGTCGTCTAAATGCTCTCCCCTCCGCAGAGGCTTACATGAAGTTTCTAGTGAGGGAAAAGTGAGCATGCAAGGAGTGATGGGAAGAGCTAATTAAAGGAAGCCTCTGCGAGTTAATGCAATCAATATGGCATCGGATTAAAACATGTTTTCGACGTTCATTTTCAGGTGTACTTGAGTATCCTGGGGTGAATTAAATATCAATCTCTTCTGTCATTTGCATCAAAAAATATTGAGAAATTGCAAACGAATATATCAATGGATACGAGCTATCTAATTATAAATATCCTCTTAGTTGCAACATTTCTTCATAAAAATTACTATATTGAACTTTGATACTCAGATTATGAAGATTCCTTTCAATTTCTTTCACATTTCCCTCGATTTCAAGTTTAAAAAAGGTCAAACAGCTAGTTTCGTTCAAAAACCATACTTCGTCGCATTAACTGGCAGAGTCTCCCAAATTTCATTTCAATCTTCCCATCACACTGTGCACGCTCACTTTTATTCTGGAAACTTCATGTAAGTTTTTGTAAATACTTAAGGAGGCTCTGCGGAGGAGACAGGTCTAAATGTATTAATTGTACAGAAGTAAAACGCCATTCCACAAAATCACGTAGTTCTAACATGAAGTAATATTTAAATTTGGTTCAAACAAGTGCAGGCTCACAGAATGGAGGCTTTTTCAGTTTTTGGCATCGATTTTTTGACAATATGAATGGAAAAGCAGAGGCTGTGGGATTCGCAGGTAAATATATATATAATTTTTTTCGCGTTGTTTATTTGATATTTTAAAATCATCTTGTTTTAATTCATTTATAGGAGTGAATATTTTGATAACCTTTACAATGAAATCTTGAAAATGAAGTGGTCAGATTTGAAAAATGTTAATATTCGTGATTTCCCAGCACTTCCCTCCACAAAACAAGATGAAAAACACCCATTATTGTAGACTCAGATGCATTACAGATTTACCCAGATGATGCTCCGAAAATGATGATTCCAATTAAAATTTATAGCGATGGAAACTGCTTCTTTCGCGTCTTGTCTAAGACGCGAAAGAAGCTTCTCTTGGTGAATTTGTAAGACAGCATAAAGAAATGCGAGTGAGAGCTGTGCTAGAAATGGTACAAAATGAAGATTTATATGAAAACAACGAACAGCTTAACCTGATGTCCGAATACCAAGTAAAAAACTTGGTAAAAAAATTGTGCGAGCATTCGATTCCAGGGCTCTGGCATTGGGCTCTGGCATTTCTTTGCAGCCGCAAATTGTATTCAAACTCCAGTTAGAAGTATTTATCCTGATGATCCAAGTCTGTTTGTCAACAGAAAGCTGTATAACCAATTGATATCACCCGTGAAGTTTTCAGATCGAGATATTTTGGAAGGCATAGTAACAAAGCTAGGAAACAATACTCTAACGCCTGTTTGGTCTCCAAATCATTTCATACTGTGCACAACTAACTCAGCAATCAAAGATGCAGTCACTGGGAAAAGGAAAACTGAAGGTCAAAAATCGTCGGCTCTTGACGAGACAAAGAAGAAAAAAACCATCACAAATACAAGACGAAGTTCAATCCGTCTTGGACAAAATTCAAATACATCACAGCAGAACCAAGCGACCAATATATATATATATATATATATATATATAAATTTTGGTGTCTTACAATATTTTTATGTTAACCCATTGAGCTAGAGGACATATTTATTGTGATTTGTGTGCTTTTTTACAGGTTTAAGTTTTGTTGTAATGCATGTAGAGTGGCAATCAGGTGTGACCATAGTGGACAGAAATCCGTGTTAGACCATATAAGCGCAAAATCAAATCAGGAAAGAGCTAAAGAAGAAGATAAACAGCCAAGATTATTTTTTTAATCAGCAGCTGACAAGTCTTTAAAAGAAAAGGTAGTGTTAATTTGAATTGTTAAATTAATACGTCATGCATGCATTTGTAACAGGAAGGTAAATATATATTGCGTTTTTATCTCTAGATCATCCGTGCAGAAGTCAAAATCACAAATTTCTTAGTGCAACACAACCTGCCACTCGCAGTTGCCGATCATTTAAGCCAGCTGGTTTAAAATATTTTTCCTGACAGCAAGATTGCAAAAGGGTACACATGTGCCAGAACAAAAACAACTAACGTTCTCAATGGTGCAATGGCACCATTTTGCAAGAAAGAGTTGATTACTGCCATGAAAAAGAACCCTTTTTCTCTTGCTATTGATGCCAGTTCTGCTGAAACAGGACTGAAGAAACTTTCCCTTTGACTATCAAAATATTTGATGTTGCCAAGTAAAATGTTCCATAAATCAATCTTTTGTATGCCATACATATTATTAAACTGACCTATACTAAAACGCACGTTCATACCTGAATAACTCAATACAATACTATAAAAACTGTGTGTTTAACCAAAAACATATTATATGTCTTTTACTCTATTTTCAGTGCATGTGAAACATCAGTTTTTACGATCGACTAGCGCATATTATAAACTAAACACTGCTTTTGTAACAATTTCATCCAGGTATCCAATTTTGACATAGAAACCTTCCTGACCGATATATTATACTTCTGGCTCAAGCGAAGTCAGAAAAGCAAAGCTGCACCAAACGAATACTATGGCAAGTTCTTGATACCGTACCGCGAACTTGTCAAATATGTTCCGACAAGATGGTCGAGCTTACATGCAGCTGTTGAATGCACATTGAAACAGTATGAAGGTCTTTGCAGCTATATTATCTCTGAAGGTAAAATTGCTTTTTAAAACTCTTTCTCACCACAACCCATGTCGCGTCGATCCTGGGAGATCGACGGCTATAAATTTCATACCTTCGGTTCAGTGCATGCCTATGAAGACAGAAATACCACCATTCAATTCGGAAATAAAAGATCTACTAGTTCCAAATGATAGTTATAGTCATTATTAACATTGTAACAATTTATGGGCCTTTGAAAGTCAAACACGATAATATTGTATCAAATTACGCAATTGTCTGAACAAAATATAGACTAGCCATAATAGTCCCCCATCAAAAACACTATTTAGAGTGTTATTTACAAGCCTGTATCTTCAAATCTGTATCTTTTATCAATATATTTCCATTTCTTGTCTGACTGTGAGCTCGAAGTGAGTTTAATCCCAACCAGAAATACGACTGAAAACTGTCAAAACAATGCGACGTTTGTATCATATGACCCTGGAAAGGCCAGAAATGGGATTCGCAAGGACAAATTGCACCTACACGCGCGAGTTTGACGTCATACCGGCCAACAGGAGCTTCTTATTGGCCAATTATTGCACAATGTTCGCAAGTGCGAGTAAAACCCGACATCTTGAAAAATTCGAAATAAAGATTTCTGCTCGCCATATTCAAACGAAATTTTGTACACGAAATTGCTTGGATACAAAGAGTATTTTACACATATAGCCGTTCAGAAAATGACGAAAAGTTCAAGAGATATTCAAGATCTTGTAGATATGAAATCTAGAATCTTTGGCCAAGCGGTGAGTAAATATATGATTGTTTCGGTTTGTGTAATGCTCTGATGGCACTTGACCCCCCATTCGAAAGGTTATTTTAAGAGGATTTCAATGGTGGCTTTTATTTACAAGGGGGGTAAATACTTGCCGAGATATTTATATTAGAAAAATTGTGTCGTAATCTGATGCGAAAGGGGGTGGTCTTAATACTAATAACAGACAAATAGTAAGTGATATAAAAGTTCTTTAATCATATTGTTTGCGCTTTTAGGTGATAGGAGTGCAAGAGTCTCACCAGGTTATTCGGCAATCCAATGACGGAAATATACTTGTGGTTTTTTCATGGTGTGTTGCCGGTCTTTATTTCGATTAACTTGTTACTTCAACGTCAAGATACACATATTCATATTCTGTTTGACAAAATGATCGGGTTCATAAGAGTACTGTTGGGAAAATGTGTTAAATCTCGCTTGATTAAAGATGCAGGTTTGGACCTGAAGGCAATTACAAGTATACTGTATGAAGACGTGGAAAATCAGTTAAATGGTAATAAACCAGGTGTTTTAAGATAGTCAAACTAATATCCCAAAATTGCTTACGAACCAATACTTTTTTAGATAATTCGATTTTTGTTGGGAATATGACGAGAAGGAACCTTACAGCACTGTTAGATGAAGGATCTATCAGCGAGCATTGCTACAATAAATTTATAAAGCTGTTCGTGCTTTTTATGTCAAAAGCATGGATTACAAAAAGAAAACGTTTCCCATTGATGATATCATTAAACATGCTAAACTCGCCAATTTTCAACTCAGAGATGGAATGGATTTTTTATACGTCAGTTTTTTTGTAGAAAGGTATGTAAAAATTAAATCTCAATATGTTTTTCATTTTACTCTAAAGGCTGTATTATTCCATGAAGTGTATGATATGATTGGTTTCAAAATTGTAATAATAAATTTTGATTTAGATATGCCAATGTCCTGAAGTTTTCTGACAAGGATATTGATTTACTGCACGATGAGCTGGTGGATTACATTATCTTAGAAGACACAGACATCCCACAATCTGTATGGGAAGAAGTGAAATTACAAGGAAACAATGACGATACGAATGCAAAACGAATTAGAATGGATGTGATTGTTGCTCACTTATCAGGCATGACGGCACCTGGATCCAACAGCTTACAGTTTCCACAATTATCAAGGGTTCTACAACTTATTATTATTCCACACTCTAATGCTTGATGAAGAGCGTGTATTCTCCCTTATCAGAAAGAACAAAACATGTTTCCGTCCAAATCTTGATCCTGACATTACCATTACCCTCATCATGGTGAAATTGGCCATTCCGAAATCTTGTCAAGATTACGAACCAGATGGTTCTGTTTTGTCACAGGCGAAAAAAGCCACTTGCATCTACAACAAGGCCCACAGAAACTAAACAGGCTTATGTTAACGTTTTTAAACAATTGTAACGCGTTACTGTGTACTCGTTACATTTGAAGTAATTTTAACCTGTAATTAATTACGTTTTTAGAAATGTAACGAAAAACGTAATTAATTACAAAAGCAAGGAACGTGTTCCTTTTCCAAGGAGCAAATTGAAAATTCCTTTTCTTATTCTGTTAAAAGTAAGAAATAAAAAATACAACGTTACGACAAAAATTCAGAAAAATGGCTGAAATAATCTTCAATGAGATCACATGACATGATAGCCTACATGAAGTACTACTTATTGCGAAAGTGTAACCACAATTTATTCCGAGGCTCAGAGCGCCAAATATTGGCAATAAAGTTTTAAGTTTACATGCTTCGGATTTGCATGTCAAATGTTTTAATATATTGAAATATCATCTTGATAAATTCTTGCAAATTTCATAGTTTATACCGTTTTTATTTACAACTACTGTTTAAGATATTGTCTTATAATATATATATAGTAACAATTTGCTGGTAAAGGAATTTGTAATTAATTCCTTTTTTCCGCAGTAATTTTTTCATTGTACTTAATTACATTTTAGAACAAGTAATTGTAATCAGGAATTTATTACATTTTAAAGCAAGTAATTGTAATTGGAATTAATTACTTTTTCAGTGGTTATTTTGCAGCCCTGTTGTTCTGTTACCGGAAGTTAATATAGTAGGGATACATTATTTGATTAAATTTGTACAATTCTGCTGAGATATCTATAGAGGGTCCTGAAGGGGGGG